GTAAAACCTATGACTCTCATACATTCCCCTCTTTGCCTCCAAGGACAACAGTTCTTGGTCTCCATGACTCATAAGTGCACACTCACTCTTTTTCCCTCATCATTTCTATGTTTCACCTCATCTTTCATAGACCCATCCGCTGACACGTCCTCTGCCCCAAATATCTGTTTACGTTCACCTCCTCCATCTCTCTCCCTCCAATCTGATTTTCAATTCTTTCATCACCTATTCTTTTTTGTTATCCTTCATATCATTACTCTTTCCGGTATTCACCTTTAATTTTCTTCTTTTTGACACCCTACCAAATTCATCCACCAATCTCTGCAATTCTCTTCAGAATTCCCAAGACACAGTGTCATCAGCAAAGCGCAGCTGTGTTGACAACTCCCACTTTGTGTGTGATTCTTTATCTTTTAACTCCACGCCTCTTCCAAGCCCCTCCGCTCATGTACTTTCTCTTACAACCCCATCTATAAATATATTAAACAAACCACGGGGCCATCAACACATCCTTGTATAAGGCCTATTGTACTGGGAAAAAAAATTTCCTCTTTCCTTAATTACTTAACTTGAGCCTCACTATCCTCGTTAAAAACTTTCACTGCTTTCAGTAACCTACCTCCACACCATCACTTGCAACTTCTGCCACTTGCCCCCCTTCCACCCTGTTCATTACGCCTTTTCCAAATCCTTAAGCCACAAGACCTCTTTAGCCTTATCTAAATATGTTTCACTTATATTGTTTCACTGTAAACACCTGGTCCCACACCCCCTACCTTTCCTAAAGCCTCCTTGTTTCATCTGCTATTCCTATTCTCCGTCTTATCTCTTTTAATTCTTTCATTTATAACTACATACACTTTTCCAGGTACACTCAACAGGATTATCCCCCTATAATTTTTTGCACTCTCTTTTATCCCCTTTGCCTTTTTACCAAAGGAACTATGCATGCTCTCGCCAATCCCTATGGCACCTTACCCTCTTCCATAAATTTTTAAATAGTTGCACACAACCACTCCAAAACTATATCCCACCTGCTTTTAACATTTCTATCTTTATCCCATCAAATCCCGGGCCTGCCCCTTACCCCACTTTCTTTTTACCTATGCCTTCACGAAACTTCCCACACTCACAACTGCTCTTCCTCACTCCTACTAGATGTTATTCCTCCTTGCCCTATACACGAATCACAGCTTCCCTTCTTCATTCAACATTTAAAAATTCCTCAAAATATTCCTTCCATCCTTCCCATACCTCTAACTCTCCATTTATAACTCTCCTCTCCTATTTTTTATCTGACAAATCCATTTGTTCTCTAGGCTTTCATTAACTTGTTAATCTCACTCCAAAACGTATTTCTTATTTTCAACATAAATTTGTGATTAACATCTCACCCACTCTCTATTTGCTCTCTTTTTACATTGTTCACCACTCTCTTAACTTCTCTCTTTTTTCCATTTACTCTTCCTCCTTGCATCACTTCTACTTTAGTAAAAAATTCTCATATGCTAACTTTTTCTCCCTTACTACTCTCTTCTACATCATCATTCCGCCAATCGCTCCTCTTCCTCCTGCACCCACTTTCCTGTAACCACAAATTCTGGCTGAACACTCTATACACTACATTTTTTAAAACCCTACCCCATACATCTTCGACCCCATTGCCTATGCTCTTCATTAGCCCATCTATCCTCCAATAGCTGTATTTTATCTACCCTAAACTGCCTCCTCTTTTAGTTTATAAACCTTTCACCTCTCTCTTCCTGATGCTTCTTTTCTCTTGTATCCATCTACCTTTACTGTCTCAGTGTAGCTACAACTAGAAAGTGATCTGATATATCTGTGGCCCCTCCTATAAAACATGTGACATACTGAAGTCTAACTCAAACAGTCTTTTTATCTACCAATACATAAATCAACAAATACTGTCATTTCGCCTACATCCTATCGTGTTATACTTATTTATCCTCTTTTCTTAAAATATGTATTACCTATAACTAAACCCCTTTCTATACAAAGTTCATCAAGGGACTCCATTATCATTTTACACCTGGCACCCCAAAATTACCTACAACACCCTCTCTAAAAGTTTTCCTACTTTAGCATTTCAAGTTCCCCTACCACAATTACTCTTCACTTGGTTCAAAGGTCCAATACTTTCACTTAACATCTCCCAACAAATCTCTCTCTCTCCTCTGCATTCCTCTCTTCTCCAGGTGCATACTCGCTTATTATGACCCACTTCTCGCATCCAACCTTTACTTTATTCCACTTACATTCTTGAATTTACACATTCATTTCTCTTTTCTCCTTCCTTAATGATAATTTAAACATTACTGCCTACCCTTCCTTTGCTCTACTCTCTCAGATACTCAGATTTATCCCATCATTTATTTCCCCCACTGGAACTCTCTACCCCCTTCAGCTTTGTTTGCTTAGGGCCAGGACATCCAACTTCTTTCATTCATAACTCAGCAATCATCTGTTTCTTGTCATCGCACTACATCCACGCACATTTAAGCAACCCAGTTTTATAAAGTTTTTCTTCTTCTCTTTTTTAATAATTGTATACAGGAGAAGGGGTTACTAGCCATTGCTCCCGGCATTTTAGTCGGCCTCATACGACACGCATGGCTTACGGAGGAAAGATTCTTTTTCCACTTCCCCGATGGACAATAGGAGAAATAAAAAAGAACAAGGCTAATTTTAGAAAAAAGGAAGGAAAAAACTAGATCGTATGTATATATATATATGCATGTACGTGTCTTTGAAGTGTGACCAAAGTGTAAGGTAGGAAGTTAGCAAGCTTTCAATGTTATCTTAGCGTGTTTATGAGTCAGAAGAAGAAACAGCAATTCTGCATTCATGCAAAAACAGTTACAGGTTTTGTTTCACAGTCATCTGGCCCAGGACGGTTAGTACTTCCCGGGTGGTTGCTGTTTACCAAACCTACTACTAGTATATATATATATATATTTATATATATATATATATATATATATCTACTATATATATATTTATATATATATTATATAATATATATATATCTATATTATATATATAAATATTATATTCTTTCTCACACCACCGGCCGGATCCCACCGAGGGGGGCGGGGTGGCCCAAAAGGAAAAACGAAAGTTTCTCCTTTTCTCTACATTAGGTAATATATACAGGAGAAGAGGTTACTAAGCCCTTGCTCCCGGCATTTTTAGTCGCCTCTTACAACACGCATGGTTACGAGGAAAGAATTATGTTCACTTCCCCATTGGAGATAAGAGGAATAAACAGGAATAAGAACAGTAAAAATAGAAGGAAAACCCAGAGGGGTGAGAATAGATGTGCTTGTACATGTAATGGTAGTGGTTGAACCTAAGTGTAAGTAGAAGTAGCAAGAGTACCTGAAAAGCTGCATGTTCATGAGACTGAAAAAAAAACAAGGACACCAGCATCCTACCATCATGTAAAACAATTCAGGCTTTCGTTTTACACTCACTTGGCAGGCGGTACGTACCTCCCTGGGCGGTTGCTGTCTACCACCTACTACATACAATATATTATATATATATTTTATATATACAGTGGCCCACGCTTTCGATCAGCTCCAATGCGACCTATTATGTAAAGTATATTTATGTAAGTGCGTTTGTACGTGTATGTTTGGGGGTCTGAAATGGACTAATCTAATTCACAGTATTCCTTATGGGAACAAATTCGTTCAATACTGGCACCTGAACATACTTCTGGAATGAAATAATATCGTAAAACCGGGGGTCCACTGTATGTATGTATGTATGTATATGTATGTATGTATGTATGTATGTATATGTATGTATGTATGTATGTATGTATATGTATATACGTATGTATATATGTATATGTATGTATGTATATGTATGTATGTATATGTATGTATATGTATATATATATATATATATATATATATATATATATATATATATATATATATATAGGTAGTAGGTTGGTAGACAGCAACCGCCCAGGGAGGTACTACCGTCCTGCCAAGTGAGTGTAAAACGAAAGCCTGTAATTGTTTTACATGATGGTAGGATTGCTGGTGTCCTTTTTTCTGTCTCATGAACATGCAAGTTTTCAGGTACGTCTTGCTACTTCTACTTACACTTAGGTCCCACTACCACATACATGTACAAGCACATATATACACACCCCTCTGGGTTTTCTTCTATTTTCTTTCTAGTTCTTATTCTTGTTTATTTCCTCTTATCTCCATGGGGAAGTGGAACAGAATTCTTCCTCCGTAAGCCATGCGTGTTGTAAGAGGCGACTAAAATGCCGGGAGCAAGGGGCTAGTAACCTCTTCTCCTGTATATATTACTAAATGTAAAAGGAGAAACTTTCGTTTTTCCTTTTGGGCCACCCCGCCTCGGTGGGATACGGCCGGTGTGTTGAAAGAAGAATATATATATATATATAGGTAGTAGGTTGGTAGACAGCAACCGCCCAGGGAGGTACTACCGTCCTGCCAAGTGAGTGTAAAACGAAAGCCTGTAACTGTCTTCATTGATGGTAGGATTGCTGGTGTCTTTTTATTCTGTCTCATGCACATGCAAGATTTCAGGTACGTCTTGCTACTTCTACTTACACATAGGTCACGCTACACATACATGTATAAGCATATATACACGCACCCCTCTGGGTTTTCTTCTATTTTCTTTCTAGTTCTTGTTTATTTCCTCTTATCTCCATGGGGAAGTGGAACAGAATTCTTCCTCCGTAAGCCATGCGTGTTGTAAGAGGCGACTAAAATGCCAGGAGCAAGGGGCTAGTAACCCCTTCTCCTGTATATATTACTAAATGTAAAAGGAGAAACTTTCGTTTTTCCTTTTGGGCCACCCCGCCTCGGTGGGATACAGCCGGTGTGTTTAAAGAAAGAAAGAAAGAAATATATATATAGATATATATATATATATATATATAGGGTGCTATGTTTTGTCTTCTTTTATTACTAAAATGATCTTACTTTTTTTATTCGAAGTTTTGGTTGTGACAGTAGGGTTATAAAATATGGTAGGAGACTGTGTGTGCTGTGGAGATGCAGGGTAAAATGGATCTGGAGAGGCTGGATGAGATGAAGGAGGCTGCATCGCAGAGATCATCAGGCTACCCTCCTCTTGAACCTCGTCCCCTTCTTCAGCTTCTTCATCTTCTTCCTGGGACGTCGTCTTCAGGATTTTCTTCGGAACTACAATGGAAATTTTAATATAATTAATACCTCTATCACACCCTATTTTAAACTTTCCATCCACCTCAGATTAATAGACCCTTTTAGTCAACCTCTCCTACTCCTTTATATCGGTATAATCCAACTATCTTAACATAAGATTTTATTTGGCTTTTTAACCCAAAGTGTTAGCCATCCAGTATTACCAATAAAGTCGGTGTGTTACAACGTTTAGTGTGATTTTGTCAATGGTCCAAGTCGGACCGAAACGTCGTCGTAAGCTTCTCTCTTTTATGTGCGGGTTATTTGTGTATCGTTCCAGTCACGGTATTGTGCCTTTTTTGTTATTCAGAAATGTTTATTCCCATTGGGGTCCTTTAATCATGTCCCCAAAGATGTGACCCACAACAGTCAACTAATACCCAGGTACCTACTTACTGCTATGTGAACAGGAGCAGCAGGGGTAAAGAAACATGCCCAATGTTTCACCTGTGCCGGGGATTGATTATATTTTAATTCTTTAATATCTATATAATAGTCTAATAACACTCTCATCACAGGCACATTTCTCTGTCTCCAGCCTCCTACTCACTGCAATATTCAAAGGTCAGGCCTCACAATCCCATTAAAATGGTGACACCGCTATACTCTGAAATATTCCCTTTTCCATTATTGCTCCTTTTATTCCCTCAAAAACTCACTTGCTGATACGTCCACTCCCAAGTATCTAAATATATTCACTTCTTCCACACTCCTGTCTTTCAGTTTCACCAAGCTCTCACTCCACATACACTATATTTGTTCTCATTACACTGCTATTTCCAGAATTCATTTTCTACCTCTTTTGCGCATTCTTTCTAATTCCTTTACAACGTTGTACAGTTTCTCTTCTGAATCTCCCAAGAACTTAGTCTCCTGAAAATGATTAACAAGTCTTACTATCAATGGTTTCTGAAGAATTTAATGGAGTTAGATTTAAATTAAAAATGGGAGAAGAGCTTGAAATTATATTGACGAAAAATAAATTATAACCTATTATGCAAATTTCTGCGAATTATCAGCATTAATGAGCGAAAGGTTTGTAGATGAATGGTTCAGAGAACCGACATGTTGATAAATTAAACACAGGTGCAACTCTTGGGTATCTTTATTGAGGAAACGTTTCACCACACAGTGGCTTCATCAGTCCATACATAGGAGAAACTTAAAGAACAGGAGGAGAATGAGGTAATCAGTCCCTCAACCTTGAGTCAATGTGTTCAGTCCATCCATCTTGAATAGAATACGGCATATGAGCGGAGAAGCAGCTTATAAACCGTATGGCAGGAGAGGTGCAGCAGTCATAGGTGGTGTCACATTTGTTCAATGTGGGAGTAGGTTGTGCCCAAGAATTAGGCAAGCGAAGAATTCCTAAGTATTAAGATCCCAAGAAGTTGCAGTGTCTGACATGTTTGTAGATGAATGGTTCAGAGAACCGACATGTTGATAAATTAAACACAGGTGCAACTCTTGGGTATCTTTATTGAGGAAACGTTTCGCCACACAGTGGCTTCATCAGTCCATACATAGGAGAAACTAATTTATCAATATGTCGGTTCTCTGAACCATTCATCTACAAGCCTGTCAGACACTGCAACTTCTTGGGATTCTTTGCTTGCCTAATTCTTGGGCACAACCTACTTCCACAATGAACAAATGTGACACCACCTATGACTGCTGCACCTCTCCTGCCATACGGTTTATAAGCTGCTTCTCCGCTCATATGCCGTATTCTATTCAAGATTGATGGACTGAACACATCGACTCAAGGTTGAGGGACTGATTACCTCATTCTCCTCCTGTTCTTCAAGATTCTCCTTTGTATGGACTGATGAAGCCACTGTGTGGCGAAACGTTTCCTCAATAAAGATACCCAAGAGTTGCACATGTGTCTAATTTATCATCAATGAGCGAAAGTTTGATCACAAATCAGTATCAGTCATACGAGTCCCATCAAACTCCTCCAAATATTATATATTTTTTTGCTATAATTATTTCCACCACTAAAAGTTATTAGGAGAGATTTTTGAGTTGGTTGGATAGTGTCAGTCAAGAGTCTTTTAATTCCTAAAATAGGGAGTATACTCTTATTATATACCCACTGAAAGACATTTTTCGGTGTATAGATGACCGTCTGGGACACAATCTCATTACTCTAAAAAAAAATATCAATATATCCTTCAACAGGCAAACAAGACTAGTATATCACAAATATTGTTTAAGCAGTTGTTAAGTAGCCTATATCAAGGAGTTGAGGTAGCAAGGGGTAGCAAGGGGGTGGCAGGGAGTTACAAGGGGGTGGCAGGGGGTAGCAAGGGGTGGCAAGGAGTAGCAAGGGGTGGCAAGGAGTAGCAAGGGGTGGCAAGGAGTAGCAAGTTTATTCAGGTACAGGTACACAAATACAGTTACACAAGTTATCATACATAGCAACAGATTACCCAGGATAAACCCCCAAAAAAGTCAGACAAAGTGAGGGTGGCAAGAGAGAGAGAGAGAGAGAGAGAGAGAGAGAGAGAGAGAGAGAGAGAGAGAGAGAGAGAGAGAGAGAGAGAGAGAGAGAGAGAGAATATCATACCGCAGGTGTAGGCAGTTGTCAGGTACATCAAAGAGTCAGGTGAGCAAGGTGTGCCAAACATTTTTGGGTCTGCTCCTAGGTGGCACTCCCGATGACCGTGGCACAGTTTCATAACGATCTCGTTCGCATAGCTTGCTTGGCAGTCTAGAAGATTTGTTACATTTATTAATAATAACAAAATAAACAAAGTCACAATAAAATCATTTTAATACAAAGGCGTATGGATTCCTGTTTTGATAAAGAAAAAATAAGATATAAGATCATAATGTAAAAGATCATGCATGAAAATAATAAGAAATTAATAAGTCCAATGTGTCAGAATATGATGACAATGTGTCAGAATATGATGACAATGTGTCAGAATATGATGACAATGTGTCAGAATATGATGACAATGTGTCAGAATATGATGACAATGTGTCAGAATATGATGACAATGTGTCAGAATATGATGACAATGTGTCAGAATATGATGACAATGTGTCAGAATATGATGACAATGTGTCAGAATATGATGACAATGTGTCAGAATATGATGACTGTGTCAGAATATGATGACTGTCAAAATATGATGACAATGTGTCAGAATGATAATGTGTCAGAATATGATGACAATGTGTCAGAATATGATGACAATGTGTCAGAATATGATGACAATGTGTCAGAATATGATGACAAGTGTTCAGAATATGATGACAATGTGTCAGAATATGATGACAATGTGTCAGAATATGATGACAATGTGTCAGAATATGATGACAATGTGTCAGAATATGATGACAACGTGTCAGAATATGATGACAATGTCAGAATATGATGACAATGTGTCAGAATATGATAACAATGTGTCAGAATATGATGACAATGTGTCAGAATATGATGAAAATGAGGAAATATTCTTTTCTCTGAGGATGAGGATCTCCAGCACAGTTCCAGAGCCGGTAACTCCCTATATTGTTTATTTTACACACACACACACACACACACACACACACACACACACTGGAGGACAGGAGGGTCAGGGGAGACATGATAACGACATATAAAATACTGCGTGGAATAGACATGGTGGACAAAGACAGGATGTTCCAGAGATGGGACACAGAAACAAGAGGTCACACTTGCAGGTTTGAAGACTCGGATGAATCAAAGGGATGTTAGGAAGTATTTCTTCAGTCAGAGTTGTCAGGCAGTGGAATAGCCTAGAAAGTGACGTAGTGGAGGTAGGAACCATACATAGCTTCAAGACGAGGTATGATAAAGCTCATGGAGTGGGGAGAGAGAGGACCTAGTAGCGTTCAGTGAAGAGGCGGGGCCAGGAGCTGAGTCTCGAACCCTGCAACTACAATTAGGCGAGTACAATTAGGCGAGTACACACACACACACACACACACACACACACACACACACACACACACACACACACGCAGATGAGGATCAGGCAGGACTACAAAGAGACCTGGACAGGCTGGACACGTGGCCCAGCAACTGGCTTCTCGAATTCAACTCTGCCAAATGTAAAGTCATGAAGATCGGAGAAGGGCAAAGAAGACCGCAGAGTATAGGCTAGGTGGCCAGAGACTGCAAACCTCGCTCAAGGAGAAAGATCCTGGGGTGGGTATAACACCGAGCACGTCTCCGGAAGCACACATCAACCAGATAACTGCTGCAGCATATGGGCGTCTGGCAAACCTGAGATTAGCGTTCCGACACCTTAGTAAGGAATCTTTCAAGGCACTGTACACCGTGTACGTCAGGCCCATACTGGAGTATGCAGCACCAGTGTGGAACCTACACCGGGTCAAGCACGTTAAGAAATTAGATAAAGTGCAAAGGTTTGCGACAAGGTTAGTTCCAGAGCTAAGGGGAATGTCCTACGAAGAAAGGTTAAGGGAAATCGGCCTGACGACACTGGAGGACAGGAGGGTTAGGGGAGACATGATAACGACATACAAAATACTGCATGGAATAGACAAGGTAGACAGATGTTCCTAACATCCCTGTGACTCATCCGAGTCACAGGGATGTTAGGAAGTATTTCTTCAGGCACAGAGTGGTCAGTAAGTGGAACAGTCTGGCGAGTGATGTAGAGGAGGCAGGAACCATACATAGTAAAACTATGTATGGTATGAAAAAGCTCATGGAGCAGGGAGAGAGAGGACCTAGTAGCGTTCAGTGAAGAGGCGGGGCCAGGAGCCGAGTCTCCACCGCTGCAACCACAATTAGGTGAGTACAATTAGGTGAGTACACACACACACACACACACACACACACACACACACACACACACACACACACACACACACACCACACACACACACACACACAAAAAAAAAAAAAAAGAGACCAGTAGCTACGACTCGACCCCTGCAGCCACATATAGTTAAGATAAGATAAGATTTCGTTCGGATTTTTAACCCCGGAGGGTTAGCCACCCAGGATAACCCAAGAAAGTCAGTGCGTCATCGAGGACTGTCTAACTTATTTCCATTGGGGTCCTCAATCTTGTCCCCCAGGATGCGACCCACACCAGTCGACTAACACCCAGGTACCTATTTGCTGCTAGGTGAACAGGACAATAGGTGTAAGGAAACGTGTCGAAATGTTTCCACCCGCCGGGAATCGAACCCGGGCCCTCCGTGTGTGAAGCGGGAGCTTTAGCCACCAGACCACCGCGCGCACACACACACTGTTACGACTTCGATGTCGTAACAAGTAAAATGTTCCTGGCTCCTGAAGGTTGTTCACACTACTGTCTAGGGGTTAAAAATTACTCTGAAAAACACAGCAAAACTTGGACCAGCATGTACTCATATTAAACAATATTAATTATTATTAGGAAGGCCAAAAACTCACCCATACATAAATACATGATATATAAATACATGATAAAACTGATGAATTCGCAAAGGAATATATTTTCCAAGAGGAAGGAGATTACACCTTTGGGCAGTTAACTAGTAGTATGAGGACAATATTATGAAAAATTAACCACAAGTGACTTGAGAGAGAGGTAGAGTGACACCTGTCGATCTACCAACATTTTATCTTGCAGGAAGAGCCACATATCTGAACATAACTGAAGAAACTCCTGGATATCACTAGTACCCGGCTTCGTCGGGCTACAAGTACCTCTGGTAGTTTTGACCAGTAGCTGATGTAGACCTAACTAAACGTAAACTTCGTCAGGAGAGCTATTGTTACCCCCTGTGTCACTATGTGCGTGATTGTGAAATATTCATAAATTCAGAAAATAACTCGTAATGTTCGTAAATGTTCAAGAAATGTCAAGTATTTTTATCTGCAAATATATATATTGAGCGATTCTCTTTAAAATACCTGACTTTGCTTATTATAAATAAGCATTAACCACTTTAACTTATTTAAATGCAAGAGTCATTTATATGTAGTTGTAAGTCATTTACAATACCACAGGTAATGTAAATTATTTATAACCACATACAAGATAATGTTTATGTGACTGAATACATGACAATGTAAACAACTCACTACCATTCTTAACAATTCGTAATTTTCTTTAAATAATTAATTGTCACTGTAGCTTGTTAAACTCTCAGTCCCGAGACCCAATATGGAGCTCTGTAATCTTTTCGACTACCCCGCCATTGAACTGGTCTGAGGTGAATAATTAAGCTAGCAAACCAACACTCTCTCACACAACATATTAGCTCACACAACACACTAGCTCACAAAACACACTAGCTCACACAACACACTAGCTCACAAAACACACTAGCTCACAAAACACACTAGCTCACACAACACACTAGCTCACAAAACACACTAACTCACAAAACACACTAGCTCACAAAACACACTAGCTCACAAAACACACTAGCTCACAAAACACTAGCTTACACGACACATCAATACTAAACAAGCGTAGTACAAATTACCTTCCTCCGGTACTCCTCTCGGCTGGGGACACGTATAAGATCCCTCGAGTCGTCTACCAAACAATGCACTGTATATGGCCAGTCTTGAGTTCTTCTCACAGGTGAGAGTCAGATCTCCAGGCACACATGTTATCTTGCTGATGAACGTTTCTGTAAAATGATTTGTGATAAAAACTGGGCCATAGAAATTTAAAATTCTTGTTGTGCAAAAAGTATTGAAGAAAATTCTTGAATTAAATTGGGATGATACATCAAAGAGAATTTTCGAGGCTTCTAAAGTTTTGGACTCTGTTATATTTAAGAGCGAAGGGTTCTTGATCCAAGACAACAGAACTAACCTCCCATTCCCCGGGTACTGTATAACCCACTACGGGTTAAGCGCTTCACAAATATAATAGCAATGGAGTGAGATAAACATCAACTTTGATGAGTAAGACACACATGTAACAATTGAGTATCTTTATTCTTGAAACGTTTCGCCTACACAGTAGACTTCTTCAGTCAAATACACAGTAGAAGTATCGTAGGCAGCCACTGCTGCTCCTACAATATATTCTCCTCTGTATCTGACAGAAGAAACTAACGCATTGGAGAAACTTTTTAAGAATAAAGATACCTAACTGTTGCACATGTGCATTGCTCATCAACGTTGTCTGTGGTGTTACAGTGGTGAGGTAAGGTGCTTGTCTGTGGTGTTACAGCGGTGAGGTAAGGTGCTTGTCTGTGGTGTTACAGTGGTCAGGTAAGGTGCTTGTCTGTGGTGTTACAGTGGTGTGGTAAGGTGCTTGTCTGTGGTGTTACAGAGGTGTGGTAAGGTGCTTGTCTGTGGTGTTACAGTGGTGTGGTAAGGTGCTTGTCTGTGGTGTTACAGAGTGTGGTAAGTTTGCTTGTCTGTGGTGTTACAGTGTGAGGTAAGGTGTTGTCTGTGGTGTTACAGTGGTGGTAAGGTGCTTGTCTGTGGTGTTACAGTGGTGTGGTAAGGTGCTTGTCTGTGGTGTTCAGTGGTGTGGTAAGGTGCTTGTCTGTGGTGTTACAGTGTGAGTAAGGTGCTTGTCTGTGGTGTTACAGTGGTGTGGTAAGGTGCTTGTCTGTGGTGTTACAGAGGTGTGGTAAGGTGCTTGTCTGTGGTGTTACAGTGGTGAGGTAAGGTGCTTGTCTGTGGTGTTACAGTGGTTGTGGTAAGGAGCTGTCTGTGTGTTACAGTGTGTGGTAAGGTGCTTGTCTGTGGTGTTACAGTGGTGTGGTAAGGTGCTTGTCTGTGGTGTTACAGTGGTGTGTAAGGTGCTTGTCTGGGGTGTTACAGTGGTGTGGTAAGGTGCTTGTCTGTGTGTTACAGGGTGTGGTAAGTGCTTGTCTGTGGTGTTACAGTGGTGTGGTATGGTGCTTGTCTGTGGTGTTAGTGGTGAGGTAAGGTGCTTGTCTGTGTGTTACAGTGGTGTGGTAGGTGCTTGTCTGTGGTGTTACAGTGGAGTGGTATGGTGCTTGTCTGTGGTGTTAGTGTGTGGTAAGGTGCTTGTCTGTGGTGTTACAGTGGTGTGGAAAGGTGTTTGTCTGGGGTGTTACAGTGGTGTGGAAAGGGTGCTGTCGGGGGTTTTACAGGGTGGGGAAGGTGTTGTCTGGGGGTGTTACAGTGGTGGGAAAGGTGTTTGTCTGTGGTTTACAGGGGTGAGAAAGGGTGTTTTCTGTGGGTTACAGGGTGAGGTAAGGTGTTTGTTGGGGGTTTACGTGGTGGGGTAAGGGTTTTGTCTGGGGGTTACAGTGGGTAAGGGTTGTTGTGGTTTTCCGGTGAGGTAAGGTGTTTGCTGGTTTTTCAGGGGGTTGGAAAGGTGCTTGTCTGTGGTTTACAGTGGTGGGGAAAGGGTGCTTGTCTGTGGTGTTACAGCGGTGGGTAGGGCTTGTCTGGGGTGTTACAGTGGTGTGGAAAGGTGCTTGTCTGTGGTGTTACAGTGGTGGGGTAAAGGTGCTTGTCTTGGTGTTACAGCGGTGTGGTAAGGTGCTTGTCTGTGGTGTTACAGCGGTGAGGAAAGGTGCTTGTCTGTGGTGTTACAGTGGGTGGTAAGGTGCTTGTCTGTGGTGTTACAGCGGTGAGGTAAGGGTGCTTGTCTGTGGTGTTACAGTGTGTGGTAAGGTGCTTGTCGTGGTGTTACAGTGGTGTGGTAAGGTGCTTGCTGTGGTGTTACAGCGGTGAGGTAAGGGCTTGTCTGTGGTGTTACAGTGTGTGGTAAAGGTGCTTGTCTGTGGTGTTACAGGGTGTGGTAAGGTGTTTGTCTGTGGTGTTACAGTGGTGTGGTAAGGTGCTTGTCTGTGGTGTAACAGTGGTTGGTAAGGTGCTTGTCTGTGGGGGTTACAGCGGTGAGGAGGGTTGTCTGTGGTTTTTACAGTGGTGTGGTAAGGTGCTTGTCTGTGGTGTTACAGTGGTGTGGTAAGTTGCTTGTCTGTGGTGTTACAGTGGTGTGGTAAGGTGCTTGTCTGTGGTGTTACAGCGGTGAGGTAAGGTGTTTGTCTGTGGTGTTACAGCGGTGAGGTAAGGTGCTTGTCTGTGGTGTTACAGTGGTGTGGTAAGGGCTTGTCTGTGGTGTTACAGTCGTGTGGTAAGGTGCTTGTCTGTGGTGTTACAGCGGTGAGGTAAGGTGCTTGCCCTGTGGTGTTACAGCGGTGAGGTAAGGTGCTTTTCTGTGGTGTTACAGTGGTGTGGAAAGGGTGCTTGTCTGGGGTGTACAGTGGTGTGTAAGGTGCTTGTTGTTGGTTTTACAGCGGTGAGGTAAGGTGCTTGTCTGTGTTTTTACAGTGGGTGGTAAGGTGCTTGTCTGGGTGTTACAGAGGTGTGGTAAGGTGCTTGTCTGTGGGTTTACAGTGGTGTGGTAAGGTGCTTGTCTGTGGTGTTACAGTGGTGTGGTAAGGGCTTGTCTGTGGTGTTACAGTGGTGTGTAAGGTGCTTGTCTGTGGTGTACAGTGGTGTGGTAAGGTGCTTGTCTGTGGTGTTACAGAGGTTGGTAAGGTGCTTGTCTGGGGTGTTACAGTGGGGGGTAAGGTGCTTGTCTGGGTGTTACAGAGGTGTGGTAAGGTGCTTGTCTGTGGTGTTACAGTGGTGAGGTAGGTGCTTGTCTGTGGTGTTACAGTGGTGGGGTAAGGTGCTTGTCTGTGGTGTTACAGTGGTGTGGTAAGGTGCTTGTCTGTGGTGTTACATTGGTGTGGTAAGGTCTTGTCTGGGTTTTTACAGTGGTGGGTAAGGTGCTTGTCTGTGGTGTTACAGTGGTGTGGTAAGGTGCTTGTCTGTGGTGTTACAGTGGTGTGGTAAGGTGCTTGTCTGTGGTGTTACTGGTGGGGGTAAGGTGCTTGTCTGTGGTGTTACAGTGGTGGTGTAAGGAGCTTGTCTGTGGTGTTACAGTGGTGTGGTAAGGTGCTTGTCTGTGGTGTTACAGTGGTGTGGTAAGGTGCTTGTCTGTGGTGTTACAGTGGTGTGGTAAGGTGCTTGTCTGTGGTGTTACAGTGGTGTGGTAAGGTGCTTGTCTGTGGTGTACAGAGGTGTGGTAAGGTGCTTGTCTGTGGTGTTACAGTGGTGTGGTATGGTGCTTGTCTGTGGTGTTAGTGGTGAGGTAAGGTGCTTGTCTGTGGTGTTACAGTGGTGTGGTATGGTGCTTGTCTGTGGTGTTACAGTGGTGTGGTATGGTGCTTGTCTGTGGTGTTAGTGGTGTGGTAAGGTGCTTGTCTGTGGTGTTACAGTGGTGGGGGGGTAAGGTGCTTGTCTGTGGTGTTACAGTGGTGTGTATGGTGCTTGTCGTCTGTGTGTTAGTGGTGAGGTAAGGTGCTTGTCTGTGGTGTTACAGTGGTGTGGTATGGTGCTTGTCTGTGGTGTTACAGTGGTGTGGTATGGTGCTTGTCTGTGGTGTTTAGTGGTGTGGTAAGGTGCTTGTCGTGGGTGTTACAGTGGTGTGGTAAGGTGCTTGTCTGTGGTGTTACAGCGGTGAGGTAAGGGTGCTTGTCTGTGGTGTTAGTGGTTGGTAAGGTGCTTGTCTGTGGTGTTACAGCGGTGAGGTAAGGTGTTTGTCTGTGGTGTTAGTGGTGTGGTAAGGTGCTTGTCTGTGGTGTTACAGCGGTGTGGTAAGGTGCTTGTCTGTGGTGTTAGTGGTGTGGTAAGGTGCTTGTCTGTGCTGTTACAGTGGTGTGGTAAGGTGCTTGTCTGTGCTGTTACAGTGGTGTGGTAAGGTGCTTGTCTGTGGTGTTACAATGGTGTGGTAAGATGCTTGTCTGTGGTGTTACAGTGGTGTGGTAAGGTGCTTGTCTGTGGTGTTACAGTGGTGAGGTAAGGTGCTTGTCTGTGGTGTTACAGTGGTGTGGTAAGGTGCTTGTCTGTGGTGTTACAGTGGTGTGGGTAAGGTGCTTGTCTGTGGTGTTACAGTGGTGTGGTAAGGTGCTTGTCTGTGGTGTTACAGCGGTGAGGTAAGGTGCTTGTCTGTGGGTGTTACAGTGGTGAGGTAAGGTGCTTGTCTGTGGTATTTACAGTGGTGTGGTAAGGTGCTTGTCTGTGGTGTTTACAGTGGTGTGGTAAGGTGCTGTCTGTGGTGTTACAGCGGTGAGGTAAGGTGCTTGTCTGTGGTGTTACAGTGGTGTGGTAAGGTGCTTGTCTGTGGTGTTACAGTGGTGTGGTAAGGTGCTTGTCTGTTGGTGTTACAGTGGTGTGGTAAGGTGCTTGTCGTGGTGTTACAGTGGTGTGGTAAGGTGCTTGTCTGTGGTGTTACAGTGGTGAGGTAAGGTGCTTGTCTGTGGTGTTACAGTGGTGAGGTAAGTGCCTTGTCTGTGGTGTTACAGTGGTGAGGTAAGGTGCTTGTCTGTGGCGTTACAGTGGTGTGGTAAGGTGCTTGTCTGTGGTGTTACAGTGTGGTAAGGTGCTTGTCTGTGGTGTTACAGTGGTATGGTAAGGTGCTTGTCTGTGGTGTTACAGTGGTGTGGTAAGGTGCTTGTCTGTGGTGTTACAGCGGTGAGGTAAGGTGCTGTCTGTGGTGTTACAGTGGTGTGGTAAGGTGCTTGTCTGTGGTGTACAGTGGTGTGGTAAGGTGCTTGTCTGTGGTGTTACGCGGTGTGGTAAGGTGCTTGTCTGTGGTGTTACAGCGGTGAGGCAGGTGTTGTCTGTGGTGTTACAGTGGTGTGGTAAGGTGCTTGTCTGTGGTGTTACAGCGGTGAGGTAAGGTGCTTGTCTGTGTGTTTACAGTGGTGTGGTAAGGTGCTTGTCTGTGGTGTTACAGTGGTGTGGTAAGGTGCTTGCCTGTGGTGTTACAGCGGTGAGGTAAGGTGCTTGTCTGTGGTGTTACAGTGTTGTGGTAAGGTGCTGTCTGTGGTGTTACAGTGGTGTGGTAAGGTGCTTGTATGTGGTGTTCAGTGGTGTGGTAAGGTGCTTGTCTGTGGTGTTACAGTGGTGTGGTAAGGTGCTTGTCTGTGGTGTTACAGCGGTGAGGTAAGGTGCTTGTCTGTGGTGTTACAGTGGTGTGGTAAGGTGCTTGTCTGTGGTGTTACAGTGGTGTGGTAAGGTGCTTGTCTGTGGTGTTACAGTGGTGTGTAAGGTGCTTGTCTGTGGTGTTACAGCGGTGAGGTAAGGTGCTTGTCTGTGTGTTACAGCGGTGAGGTAAGGTGCTTGTCTGTGGTGTTACAGTGGTGTGGTAAGGGCTGTCTGTGGTGTTACAGTCGTGTGGTAAGGTGCTTGTCTGTGGTGTTACAGCGGTGAGGTAAGGTGCTTGTCTGTGGTGTTACAGCGGTGAGGTAAGGTGCTTTTCTGTGGTGTTACAGTGTGTGGTAAGGTGCTTGTCTGTGGTGTTTACAGTGGTGTGGTAAGGTGCTTGTCTGTGGTGTTACAGCGGTGAGGTAAGGTGCTTGTCTGTGGTGTTACAGTGGTGTGGTAAGGTGCTTGTCTGTGGTGTTACAGTGGTGTGGTAAGGTGCTTGTCTGTGGTGTTACAGCGGTGAGGTAAGGTGCTTGTCTGTGGTGTTACAGCGGTGAGGTAAGGTGCTTGTCTGTGGTGTTACAGTGGTGTGGTAAGGTGCTTGTCTGTGGTGTTACAGCGGTGAGGTAAGGTGCTTGTCTGTGGTGTTACAGTGGTGTGGTAAGGTGCTTGTCTGTGGTGTTACAGTGGTGTGGTAAAGGTGCTGTCTGTGGTGTTTACAGTGGTGTGGTAAAGGTGCTTGTCTGTGGTGTTACAGTGGTGTGGTAAGGTGCTTGTCTGTGGTGTTACAGTGGTGTGGTAAGGTGCTTGTCTGTGGTGTTACAGTGGTGTGGTAAAGGTGCTTGTCTGTGGTGTTACAGTGGTGTGGTAAGGTGCTTGTCTGTGGTGTTACAGTGGTGTGGTAAAGGTGCTTGTCTGTGGTGTTTACAGTGGTGAGGTAAGGTGCTTGTATGTGGTGTTACAGTGGTGTGGTAAGGTGCTTGTCTGTGGTGTTACAGTGTGTGGTAAAGGTGCTTGTCTGTGGTGTACAGTGGTGAGGTAAGGTGCTTGTCTGTGGTGTTACAGTGGTGTGGTAAGGTGCTTGTCTGTGGTGTTACAGTGGTGTGGTAAGGTGCTTGTCTGTGGTGTTACAGTGGTGTGGTAAGGTGCTTGTCTGTGTTACAGTGGTGTGGTAAAGGTGCTTGTCTGTGGTGTTACAGTGGTGAGGTAAGGTGCTTGTCTGTGGTGTTACAGTGGTGTGGTAAGGTGCTTGTCTGTGGTGTTACAGTGGTGTGGTAAGGTGCTTGTCTGTGGTGTTACAGTGGTGTGGTAAGGTGCTTGTCTGTGGTGTTACAGCGGTGAGGTAAGGTGCTTGTCTGTGGTGTTACAGTGGTGTGGTAAGGTGCTTGTCTGTGGTGTTACAGTGGTGTGGTAAGGTGCTTGTCTGTGGTGTTACAGCGGTGAGGTAAGGTGCTTGTCTGTGATGTTACAGTGGTGTGGTAAGGTGCTTGTCTGTGGTGTTACAGTGGTGTGGTAAAGGTGCTTGTCTGTGGTGTTACAGTGGTGTGGTAAAGGTGCTTGTCTCAAGGGAAGTGCTTGTAAGCCAGTGAATAGTACTCTCCCTTTCCTTGGACTGAATCTGATTGCCTGACATATACCCAGGCGATACATGACCCCTACGGGTTTAGCGTGATTCTACAATTGTAATAATAATGATGACAATGAAACACGCTAAAGAGCAAGTGTATCCGCCCTTTAACCAGCACTGAGTGACAAGACCTTTAAAGGGTCATGAAGGTGCCTTAATACTCGTGAAGGGGGCCCATTCCATTCCTCAAGCTCTGGATGGCCCTTTTGGGTTTAGTGTTTCCTGATGAACATGTAGGGCCTAATTCGGACTGTAAGAAGCTACAGTCTGATTGATCAGTTGTTAGCCAGGAAGCTTGTTCAGAGGTCGAGCTGTGGGTACCAACTATTAGTTAATATTGCCTCTTTAATGTAGCACTGATAAAACCTATAAGGTAACTGACACATTTTATGTCATGTAAATTTTGTTTGCCGTGCAGGGGAGGGGAGGGGGGGGGAGGAGGGGGAGAGGGAGGGGGGAGAGGGGGGGAAGAATAGGAGGGGAGAGAGGGAGGGGACGAGTGGAGGGAGAGAGGTGGGCAGGAGAATGAAAGAAGGGCAGGAAAGAGGGGCTAAAGCGAGAGAGGCAAGAAAGAGAAGGGGGCAGGAGAGAGAAAGAGAGAGTGAGAGAGAGAGAGAGAGAGAGAGAGAGAGAGAGAGAGAGAGAGAGAGAGAGAGAGAGAGAGAGAGAGAGAGAGAGAGAGAGAGAGAGAGAGAGAGACAGAGACAGAGACAGAGACAGAGACAGAGAGAGAGACAGAGAGAGAGAGAGAGAGAGAGAGAGAGAGAGGGGGGGGCTGGGGTGTAAGGACTCACCTGGACGACACTTGTATGCCACTTCTATATACTTTCGTATGTCTGGACAAGGGTCGATATCGCTGAAGGTGTGCGGCACTACGTCGATCTGGCACTTCTTCTTGTGTTGGCACTTCATGATGACCAGCTTCAGCGTCTTGTACTGTGCCACAACACAACAATCAATTATTCTCTAAGGTGACTGTCCCAACGTTCACACACACACACACACACAAACGCATGCGTGCCCACGCACACACAGCTTTAAGAAAAAGTATGATTAGGCTCACGCAGTCAGGAGCTGAGACTCAACCCTTGTAATCATAATTAGGCGAGTACATATCTACAAGCACGCAACGCATGACGAACACACACACAGGCGCGCACATATACACCCACACACATACATACAGTGATACACACTCGATCCCTGCAACCACAAATAGGTGAGTACACACACACACACACACACACACACACACACACACACACACACACACAGGACAGGAGGGTCAGGGAAGACATGATAACGACATACAAAATACTGCATGGAATAGACAAGGTGGACAGAGACAGGATGCTCTAGAGATGAGACACAGAAACAAGGGGTCACAATTGGAAGCTGAAGACTCACACGAGTCAAAGGGATTTTAGGAAGTATTTCTTCAGCCACAGAGTTGTTAGGAAGTGGAATAGTCTGGCAAGCGATGTAGTGAAGGCAGGAACTATACATAGTTTTAAGACGAGGAATGATAAAGCTCATAGAGCAGGAAGAGGGAGGACCCAGTAGAGGTCAGTGAAGAGGCGGTTCCAGGAGCTGAGTTTCGACCCCTGCAACCACAATTAGGTGAGTACACACACACACACACCTCGGTGTATATATCGTGTATTTTGACCATGTCAGAGGGAGTTAGAGAGCTGACTTCATTAGCTCATCTGTAGTAATGGCTTCAGCTAGACAGATTCGATTTAGCCAGCGACTGGTACACTGTAGTAAGGCCTCAGTCCTCTCTTGTTTTACTTTATAAACAACTTTACTGTCAGTTTGTCATTCTGGCTGGTGTTAAATAACTGTGCGTTTATATAACGTACAAAATTTATAGCGGCTGTTCTATATATATATATATTATATATATATATATATATATATATATATATATAATATATATATATATATATATATATATATATATATATATATATATGCATATAAGATCACAGTAACAGGTGATTTCAGAATATGCAAACAACCACTCTGAAAGAATAGAGAAATTCCAAGCGCTTTCGTGACTACTCACATTATCAAGGAACTATGAAAGTAAAGCATCCAAGGAAGCTATATAAGGGGTCTGGCCAGCACCTCACTATCAGATCACACAACTGTTAAACAACGTGACGCGCGCCGACCCAACTTGGATAGGTCCTTTGCACAACTCACCCACAAACTATTCTACCCAAGAAAATTTAAAAATTATTATTTGTCCAGTGTATTATTAAATTCTTCCCAAATTCTATTATATAAATGTATCTAATATTATATAAACCAAAGGAAATATTCATATTATTGTCAAAACTACTTTTTATGAAACAAGATTCAATTATATTCTCTGTCGACCATGGACTTGCTTGATACTAACTTTCTCAACTTTTTGAAAATCAATTGGATGGTTAAAATCTCTTACATGAATAAATAGAGCATTGAAATCTTGTCCAGTTCTAATGCTATATTTATGTTGTTTTAATCTTAGTTCGAGATTTTTGCCAGTTTGACCGTAATAAACTTTATCGCAAATTTTACAAGGAATCTTATAGACACATCCATCAGCATTTTGGGGGGAATTCTTTATCAAAAGTTTTTTTACTGTATCAAGATTTTTTAATACAACTTTAATAATAAAAGTCTTAAGAAGAGAAGGCATATCAACCAAGTTTTCATGGTAAGGGAGAACCAACATATTTTTAGTTGAATAAGGCTGGTTTTCCCTTTTTGGATTGTAAAAAGTATTTCTAGCGACTTTAAAAGATTTATCAATTACATTCCTTGGGTATTTTAAATCATTACCTATTTCATAAATTTTGGATATTTCCTCATCTATGAACTCAGGACTACAAATTCGTAAAGCTCTCAAAAACATTGATGAGAAAACAGACAGTTTGACTATCTTGATGCGAGGAATAATAGTGGACATAGGAACAGTTATTTGTAGGTTTTCTGTAAATTTTAAATTTGAATTCATTACCCTTAATAATTAAAACATCTAGAAAAGGCAATGAGTTATTTTCTTCAAACTCAACAGTAAAGTTTATAGAATGGGCTAAGCTATTTAATTTTCCAAGGAAATGGTGTATATCTACATTTTTGGGCATAAGACACAAAATATCATCAACAATATCTGAACCATTTAGCTCTATTAGGGAGGGTTGTGTTAAGTAACCTTGTTTCAAAAAATTCCATGTATAGGTTACTAAGAACAGGTGAAAGAGGATTTCCCATTGCCATACCAAACTTCTGAGTGTAAAACTTATCATTAAATACAAATTTTGCATCAACAATGCAAAGTTTAATAAGTAGTCACGAAAGCGCTTGGAATTTCTCTATTCTTTCAGAGTGGTTGTTTTGTATATATATATATGTCGTGCCGAATAGGCAGAACTTGTGATCTTGGCTTAAATAGCAACGTTCATCTTGCCATATAGGACAAGTGAAAATTTGTGTATGCAATAATTTCCCCAAAATCATTCTGAACCTAACGAAAAAAATATATTTCACTGTGTTTGTTTAGTATTAAGTTATTGTAAACAAATCTAAAATATATATTAGTTGGGTTAGGCTAAAATAAATTGTTCTTGTTATAATAAGGTTATGTAAGTTTTCTAAAATTCTTCTGGTGCAAAATTAAAATTTTTTTTACATTAACATTAATGAAAAAAATATATCTTTAAATGTATAGGAGAAAATTTTAGAAAGGACTTAATTTTAAATGAGTTCTTGCTAATTAACCAGTTTTACATATTCGGCATGACATTATATATATATATAATATATATATATATATATATATATATATATATATATATATATATATATATATATATATAATATATATATATATTATAATATGCGTAATAAGATCACAGTAAACAGGCGATTTCAGAATATGCAAAACAACCACTGTGAAAGAATAATGAAATTCCTAGCGCTTTCGTGACTCCTCACATTATCAAGGAACAATAAAAGTAATGCATCAAAGGAAGGCATATAAAGGGTCTAGACCACACCACACCATCACATCCCACAACAAAGCAACACCTGACGCACGACTCATAAGAAAGAGAACACTGCAGCAGGCCCACTGGCCCAACTAGACAGGTCCTTCATGCAACCCACAAACTAATTCTTGGGTTGAATAGTTTGTGGGTTGCGTGAAGGACCCGTCTAGTTGGGCCAGTGGGCCTGCTGCAGTGTTCTCTTTCTTATGAGTCGTGCATCAGGTGTTGCTTTGTTGGGGGATGTGATGGTGAGGTGTGGTCTAGACCCTTTACATGTCTTTCTTTGATGCATTACTTTTATTGTTCCTTGAAATGTGAGGAGTCACGAAAGCACTTGGAATTTCATCATTCTTTCACAGTGGTTGTTTTTGCAATATATATATATATATATATATATATATATATATATATATATATATATATATATATAATATATATATATATATATATATATATAATGCAAAACACCACTCTGAAAGAATAGAGAAATTCCAAGCGCTTTCGTGACTAATCACATTATCAAGGAACATAGTTCCTTGAAAATGTGATTAGTCACGAAAGCGCTTGGAATTTCTCTATTCTTTCAGAGTGGTTTTTTTGCATATTTTGAAATCACCTGTTTACTGTGATCTTATTGCATATAAAATATATATATATATAAAATATATATATATATATATATATATATATAATATATATATATATATATATATATTTATTATATATATATATATATATTATTTTTATTATCACACGGGCCGATTCCCACCAAGGCAGGGTGGCCCGAAAAAGAGAAACTTTCACCATCATTCACTCCATCACTGTCTTGCCAGAAGGGTGCTTTACACTACAGTTTTTAAACTGCAACATTAACACCCCTCCTTCAGGGTGCAGGCACTGTACTTCCCATCTCCAGGACTCAAGTCCGGCCTGCCGGTTTCCCTGAACCCCTTCATAAATGTTACTTTGCTCACACTCCAACAGCACGTCAAGTATTAAAAACCATTTGTCTCCATTCACTCCTATCAAACATGCTCACGCATGCCTGCTGGAAGTCCAAGCCCCTCGCACACAAAACCTCCTTCACCCCCTCCCTCCAACCTTTCATAGGCCGACCATTACCCCGCCTTCCTTCCACTACAGACTGATACACTCTTGAAGTCACTCTGTTTCGCTCCATTCTCTCTACATGTCCGAACCACCTCAAAAACCCCTTTCCCTCAGCCCTCTGGACAACAGTTTTGGTAATCCTGCACCTCCTCCTAACTTCCAAACTACGAGTTCTCTGCATTATATTCACACCACACATTGCCCTCAGACATGACATCTCCACTGCCTCCAGAGAAGAAATATATATATATATATATATATATATATATATATATATATATATAATATATATATATATATATATATATATATATATATATATATGCAAAACAACCACTCTGAAAGAATAGAGAAATTCCAAGCGCTTTCGTGACTACTCACATTATCAAGGAACTATGAAAGTAAAGCATCCAAGGAAGCTATATAAGGGGTCTGGCCAGCACCTCACTATCAGATCCCACAACGGTTAAACACCTGACGCGCGCCGGCCCAACTGTACAGGTCCTTTGCACAACCCACTAACAAACTATTCTACCCAAGAAAATTTTTAAAATTATTATTTGTCCAGTGTATTATTAAATTCTTCCCAAATTCTATTAATTATAAATGGATCTAATTTATATAAACCAAAGGAAATATTCATATTATTGTCAAAACTGCTTTTTATGAAACAAGATTCAATTATATTCCTGTCGACCATGGACTTGCTTGATACTACTTTCTCAACTTTTTGAAAATCAATTGGATGGTTAAAATCTCTTACATGAATAAATAGAGATTCCA